ATATATATATATATATATATATATATATGTATGTATGTATGTGTGTGTGAGTATTTGGGCAGAAATCTCTCTTTTCAATTTCATTACAGACGACTGAAAAGCTACAACTATTAATATTATTTAAAAGTTTTTCTTTTCGCGACAAAAAGTGTGTAAAAAAACTTTCGAAATGTTCTATGCAGGAGAACACTTTCGGCTATATTGTTAGGCATTATCAAGGAATTTTTTGTTTTGTTTTTTAATTAAATATGTAAAATCCAGTACTCAATAATGGCTATAAACACTCCCACAAAGCTTTGACAAAACAAAACGAAACAAAAAAAAAACATTCTCATTACTATAGATACACATGTATAAAAATTTACATATTTAGTTGAAATCCACAAAATTCAATAAAAAAAATATATTTATATATATATATATATATATATATATTGCGTATGCATATATATATATATATATATAAATAAATGCAGGATGCTGATTACATTTTATGTATTGTACGTGTCTATATGCTTAAAATAGATTTTTGAAATATCGATTTTCACATAATTCGTCATTACACACAGACACAGACACACACATACACACACACACACATATATATATATATATATAGCCTACATAAAACGATTAAAATACAAAACGATACAATATGCAGAAAAACCTGCATATACACATAAACATACAATGAATTTTTATTATTTTGTGTAGACTATATATATATATATATGTGTGTGTGTGTGTGTGTGTGTGTGTGTATGTTGTTGTTACCTAGTGAAGGTTACTGTATAGAATAATCAAACGAAGGTTGGTAATGAACGATAATACTTAGGACAAGAACAACGCACATAAGATTCGCCAGCGATGCGTAGAAGTAGTCAACTGCTAGAAGTGAGTCAAGTGAATTCCCCAATGAATCTCCAACTGCAGGATATCTAGCAACCGTCCCACGCGGCCAGATGTGCCACAAGGCAGACTTTAATGTGGGGTACCCGAGCCCGTAGGATCAACCAAAAATTCCCCGTAGACCCCGTCTAAAACGTGGTCGGGTAGCTGTTTTCCGAGACGAGACTCTGCCCTTCGACATAGCCTCGTCTCGGGATCCTCTCTGCCCGGAGGCAGCGAGTTTGACCAGCACAGTTGGAAGCGAATCTCCGAAAAAATGCCGGATCAAACGGAGGAGCGAAGGTTTGATATCTCGAATACATAAGCCAATATATTTATTAAAGACATTTTTTTTTATGTTTAACGTTGTTATTTTATAGATACAAGCATTTAAGCAAATGCTCTGTTTATGATAAACAGTATTAAATAACATTTACCGGCCTGAATGTCCGAGAAATTTTCATAGAAAATATTCGTTCTTTGACAGGATTCGAACCTGCATCCTATACGGATAGGGTGCACTTATCGAATAACTAAAACCCTGGGGCACACTTTACATTTTAATAAGGAAAAATAAGTGCTGAAATATGAAAATAGGAAAATAATAAATAAGTCTCTTGAAATAAGCATTTGTCTTTAAGACATTGCTCGGTGTCTCTAGCTTTTTTTAAAAATAAATAAAGCTTTGTTTCTTTAAATATAAAAATAATTAATAAATTACTTTTCTGTTAACTTGGAGCGCACATGGCTATCTTTCATGGTACATTAGTGCATCCGGTCGCACCGAGTGAGAAGCATTATTCTAATAAGATACAATGAATGTTATTATTATTATTTTTATTTTCTTTGATTTCTGGCGTTTACACATTTCTTTCCGGGTCCCGCCCAGGGACCTAAGGTTAGAAATGCGTCATGACACTTTCCACTGACAAAAAAAAAAAAAAAATTACATGGATAAAGCCCTTCGTAAGGTGTGGGCTGTACTTGTCAGAACAATTTTTTGTATCTCCTTGAGGCATGGACTTCCAGGAATCCCTTCAATTAGTCTACTGCAATCTTTTCCAACCAGTCCTAGAGCTTCAACTACAACAGGGATTGTTGATGTTCCCATATGCCACATTTTCGAGATTTCTATTTCAAGGTCCTTGTACTTTGATTACTATTATTATTATTATTATTATTATTATTATTATTATTATTTGTGTATGTTATGTTTCCTGCTTTGCATCCTGTAGAGCCGGGTCTAAACAATGTTCCTTACGCCCTATTGGATAATTGTCATTTAACTGATAGCACTTTTCTTAGTATATACGATGTTCCTAATAAGGCGATCTTCTGGACTACTTGTATGTTGATGTAACCTGAGAGACTGTTAGTAAAATTATCCATTCCTTTTCTTACGATGAATGGAGAATTTTACTTTTACAATGATTATTATTATTATTATTGATGCTGTTGTTGTTTGTGTGTAATGTTTCATGCTGTGATGTTTCCTGCTTTGTATCCTATAGAGTTGGGTCCAAACTATGGTCCTTAGGCCCTATAGGGGAATTGTCATTTAATTGATAGCAATTTTCTTAGAATATGGGATGTTCCTAGTAGGGCGATCTTCTGGGCAACTTGTATGTTGATGTTACCTGAGAGACTGTTAATAAAACTATCCATTCCTTTTCGCACGAGGCCCAGAGCTCCGATTACAATTGATACAGTTTCAGTTTTCATTCCCCGCTGTTAATCTCGATCTCCAGGTCCTTGTATTTGGACGATTTCTCGATAATTTTCATCGAGGTATTACTCTGTATGTCAAAATGCATATACTTCTTGAATTTTTTGTCTTTTAGCTTTTACTAGAAGCATGGCCCGGCGTTGCCCGTGCTTGATTCAAAAATCGTACGACTCATACAGCACTGCACGCACTAACCTGTTTCTTCCCGCGCATAGCGTGGCCTTAAATTAATCTGCATTTAGGAAATACCCAACCGGAAAAAACATTTTTAAGGGTTGACCTATTGTCCATTTGCACTCTGTTTGGGGGGGGGTGCTCAGAGTTGAAACTTCACATGGTGACTCCCAATAGCCTCCTCATAAATCTGATGAGTTTTCGCTAAAAACCGACATGCGGTTCAGGTGTAATCTGGGCGTATCGGTTTTTGGGTTTTATCGATTTTCCGCGCTGTTTAGGGGTCCGTGGTCATGAAACTTCTGGACAACACTTCTAAAGGTAGACTCTAAGAGGGTGTCAAATTTGGTTGGAATGCAATAATTCCTTCTGTAAGCAGATTTTTTCGATTATCGATTTTTTCGATTATCGATTTTTTCGGAACCTGAGTCCGAACTGAAAAATCGGGCTGCGTCATGTCCGTAACTCAGCCATTTGCAAACTTGTGGGGAAAACCGCATAGAAATCGGGTGAGAAATGCGGCCTGGGCGAGGTAACAACGCCCACGACAGACACACAGACAGACAGACATGAGAAATATAGATAGTAGATTTAGATCTGTTGTTATTTATTGCCCTGTCAGTTTGAAATGGCAAGTCCCAGAGGATAGTTACATAGTTATTTTGGGTAAATGTTTCTCGTTGCTGCTCATACCATGTCTCAGTGGTTTCGATTTTGTGCGTCTTCCATATCTTCCAGTACACAACAGAATATTATGATACCTGTCTGATGGCCTACCATTGGCGTTATCTGTTACACGTGCTAGAATCTAAGCACAACATCTCTACGGAAGTTTACTAGAAGCAATTGGATGAAATACCTATTCAGTTAAACAAATGGGACCGGCATTGGTTGATCTAGGGGGTTCAGTTCTGCTTTATTATAATGCCCGTTCACATGTTGCCTGGATGATAATGCAGAAGCAGTGAATGTCGGATAGACCACCATTTTCCTTGTCCCTTACAGCTTTCTGGAACCTATCCAGTGCATCACTGTCAAAGTTTTCTGCCAGAAACTGGATGAATTGCACATCTAGTTAAGCAAAACGGGACCGGCTCTGATTAATAGCGCAGATTCAATTCTGCTTCATGATAATACTCGGCTGCATGCTGCTAGGATGAGCCTGCAGAATCTCACCAAGCAGGGATAGGAGACTTTGACACGGCCACAATATTATCCGGATCTCTCGCGCACTGACTGGCAGTTTTTTAAGCTAAAAGATATTTCGTTGTAAAGATGTAGAAATTGCATTCAAACATATTTTGACGCCTAAACCGTTAGCATTTTATCGCAGTCACAAATAAGCCTCTAACTCGATGCCAGAAATGTATAGATGGTCAATGTTCTAACTGATTTAAACACTGTTTAAATACATTACTTCAGGAATATTAGATTCTAAGATTGAACTTTATTTTAGAAAGAATTTAATCTCTCTCTATATACATACATACATATATATATATATATATATATATATATATATATATATTATCAATTAATTGATTTAAAAAATGTTTTTTTCGGAATTTCTCTGAAGAACATTCCTAATACCAACAAAAAGGAATATTTCGTGATAGCGAAAAAAACATATTTTAAATCAAATAATTTATAATATTAATGCTCTGTAAATTTACATTGAGCACTATTTTGTAAAAGTAAAATATCTATAAGAACACCGGATTATATATCTTTTTTTGTTCTTTTTTATATATATATATATATATATATATATATATATATATATATATATATATATATATATATATAATCATTTCAACCAACTAGCAGACTTAATTCATGCGTTCGACGTATCATAGATCAAGAGAACAATTGCCATGAAAATAATTATAAAAAAGACAGGCGGAATCCAAGTCAGGTCGGTGGGAAAATGAAGTTAAAGTTGAGATACCAGTTTAGGACCGAAAACATTACAGACACGTCTTTGGATTTTGTTGAGAATCTCGAGATATATGACAGGGGCAACTGGCCAAATATGGCAGTAATATTCAATACACGGACGAAGGGCAGATTTGTATATATACAAGATGGATTCTAGATATATATCTATATCGCTGTCACTATGTTGATCTATCTATGGCGATAAGGAAACTGATGAATTAAGAGGAATGATCAAAGTGCGATAGATATGTGAATATATAATGCGTGGACTTGTTTATAAGGTAGATAGACAGATAATGAACATAGATAGATAGATAGATAGATAGATAGATAGATAGATATAGATAGATAGATAGATATGAACACAGAGATAGATAGATAAATATATATGTACATGCTGATACATAATGAAGGTAATGATGTCTATATATATATATATAGAGAGAGAGAGAGATAGATAGATAGATAGATAGATAGATAGATAGATAGATAGATATGAACACAGAGATAGATAGATAAATATATATGTACATGCTGATACATAATGAAGGTAATTATGTCTATATATATATATATATATATATATATATATAGATAGATAGATAGATAGATAGATAGATAGATAGATAGATAGATAGATAGAACACAGAGATAGATAGATAAATATATATGTACATGCTGATACATAATGAAGGTAATTATGTCTATATATATATATATATATATATATATAGATAGATAGATAGATAGATAGATAGATATGAACACAGAGATAGATAGATAAATATATATGTACATGCTGATACATAATGAAGGTAATTATGTCTATATATATATATATATATATATATATAGATAGATAGATAGATAGATAGATAGATATGAACACAGAGATAGATAGATAAATATATATGTACATGCTGATACATAATGAAGGTAATTATGTCTATATATATATATATATAGATAGATAGATAGATAGATAGATAGATAGATAGATAGATATGAACACAGAAATAGATAGATAGATAGATAGATAGATAGATAGATATGAACACAGAAATAGATAGATAGATAGATAGATAGATAGATAGATAGATAGATAATGAATAAACTGAGATAGATAGATAGATATATATATAGATAGAGAGAGAGAGAGAGAGAGAGAGAGAGAGAGAGAGAGATGAACCCTCAGATCTGAACATTTTATAATATGTAGACAGTTAAATAAATAGATGGAATGAGCATGAGATGGATAAAGTGAGTAATAGAGAGAGTGAGAGAGATAGAGTGCGACTGAAAGAAAGGAAGTCTGAGAGAGTGAGAGAGAGAGACAGAGAGAAAGAGAGAGAGAGAGATAACTGAAGACGGGAAAAGATAAAATGAAAGAGAGAAAGAGGGTTGACGGATTTAAATATAGATGTAATGAGAAATAATCCTGGATTTATCCCGCAGGTATTATTTGTCCGTCGCTCTTACATCAAACTTAACACACGGATTTACGAATTAGATCCTCGATGGACGATAGGAAGGCAAATCCGCCAAGCGTAACAAATCTGTGACGATGCGGCCATGCCCGCTTTCTCCTTCAATTCAGAAAGACTCGCTTATAATTATTATTATTATTATTATTATTATTATTATTATTATTTTTAGCTGTCACCTGGATAGTCCCAACTCTCTACCTTGATTTCCATTTCCCCCAACATTTTTCTTGCACTCTTCCCAGTGCTCCATTAACGCCTAGCACGACTTTTACCTTCATATTATTATTATTATTAATAACATCAGTAATAGTAGCAGCAGTCAAGCAGGTTGCAATACAACCGTTATTTGGATCATGTCTCTTTTCCTTGAGTTACTGTTCCTCCAACTTTCCTTTTACACTATTCCAAGTGTTCCAGTAACGCCTGGCACAACTGTCAGCTTCATATTATTATTATTATTATTATTATTATTAGTCAACCATATTGCGATAAAGCTGCCCTTTGGATGGTCCCGGATCTTTTCATTGATTTCTAGTTCCACCAACTTTCCATTTAATTTGTTCCAAGTGCTCAAGTAACGCATGGCACGACAGTCAACTTCATATTATTATTATTATTATTATTATTATTATTATTATTCTCTTGCTGAATATTCACACCAATCGTAACTGGCAGTTTGATCCTGCACATGAGATCAAGTGACAGCAAACCTCTTCACTGTTTGCACTTTTTTTCTTTATTCTGGCGAGCTTCTATATACACCGTTGTTTGAATAGTTTCACTTCACTTCTCTAATTTCCATCTGCCCCAGATTTTCTTTTCGTGGGACCGTTCCTAGTGCACATATAACAGCTGGCATGACTGTCACGTTCATGTCCCCGAACTTCTTATTATTATATTATAATTCTTTTATTTTTGTTTGATTTCTGGTGTATACACATTTCTTTCCGGGTCCCGACCAGTGACCTAAGGTCAGAAATGGCATCATGACATTTTCCACTGAGCAATTTTCAAAAAAAAAATTGAACATATTTTACATAGCTAAAGCCCTTCGTAAGGTGTAGGGGTTATTATTATTATTATTATTATTATTATTTGTGTAGGTTATGTTTCCTGTTTTGTATCCTGTAGAGCCGTGTCCAAACTATAGCCCTTAGGCCCTATAGGAGAATTATCATTTAATTGATAGCACTTTTCTTAGGATATGGGATGTTCCTAGTAAGGTGATCTTCTGGGTGAGTTGTATGTTGATGTTTCCTCGGACACTGTTAGTAAAATTGTCCATTCCTTTTATTACGAGGCCCAGTGCTCCGATTACTATTGGTACAGTCTCAGTTTTCATTTCTCACATCCTGTTAATCTCTGTCTTCAGGTCCTTGTATTTGGACAATTTATTGATAATTTTATGGAGGTGTTTCTCTCAGATGGTACTGCTATGTCAATAAGCATACAATTCCCTGAATTTTTGTGTTTTATGATAATATCAGGTTTGTTGTGTTTCTCTCAGATGGTACTGCTATTTCAATATTATTATTATTATTATTATTATTATTATTATTATTATTATTATTATTACACACAAACGATAGATAGATAGATAGATAGATAGATAGATAGATAGATAGATAGATAGATAGATAGATAGATAGATAGATAGATAGATAGATAGATATGGTTTTGTGGCTCTATTTATTCCACAAAGTATTTAGGACTGTAGATTAGAAGTTGTTGTTGTTTATTACTATTATTATTATTATTATTATTATTATTTGTATATGTTATGTTTCCTGTTTTGTATCCTGTAGAGCCGGGTCCAAACTATAGTCCTTAGGCCCTATAAGAGAATTGTCATTTAATTGATAGCACTTTTCTTAGTATATGGGATGTTCCTAGTAAGGTGATCTTCTGGGCGACTTGTATGTTGATGTTTCCTCGGACACTGTGAGTAAAATTGTCCATTCCTTTTATTACGATGAATGGACAATTTTACTTTTACAATTATTATTATTATTATTTATGTATTTATGTTCTCACCAGGTGGCTGAGTTTAAGACTACGTTACAGCAAGTGACCTCTGATCTCTAGCACGATTCTCAGCATTCTCTTCTGTAGGTTTTCACACAAGTAGTAATCGATTGTACTCATTGGAGAGATCAAGCGACAGCAGGTCTCCAAATAGCTTATATTATTATCCTTATTATTATTATTAGTAGTAGTAGTATTATTATTATTAGTATTATTAGTATTATTAGTAGTAGTAGTATTTAGCTGTCATCTGGATGGTCCCAACTCTCTACCTTGATTTCCATTTCCTCCAACATTTTTCTTGCACTCTTCCCAGTGCTCCATTAACGCCTAGCACGACTTTTACCTTCATATTATTATTAATAACATCAGTAATAGTAGTAGCAGTCAAGCAGGTTGCAATACAACCGTTATTTGGATCATGTCTCTTTTCCTTGAGTTACTGTTCCTCCGACTTTCCTTTTACACTATTCCAAGTGTTCCAGTAACGCCTGGCACAACTGTCAACTTCATATTATTATTATTAATATTATTGTTATTATTATTATTATTATTATTAGTCAACCATATTGCGATAAAGCTGTCCTTTGGATGGTCTCGGGTCTTTTTATTGATTTCCAGTTCCTCCAACTTTCCATTTAATTTGTTCCAAGTGCTCCAGTAACGCATGGCACGACAGTTCACTTCATATTATCATTATTATTATTTGTAGTAGTAGTAGTAGTAGTAGTAGACAACCAGATTGCGATGAAGCTGGCCTTTGGATGGTCCCGGGTCTTTTCAATGATTTCCAGTTCCTCCAACTTTCCATTTAATTTGTTCCAAGTGCTCCAATAACGCATGGCATGACTGTCAACTTCATATTATTATTATTATTATTATTATTATTATTATTATTATTATTAGTCAACCAAATTGTGATAAAGCTGGCCTTTGGATGGTCCCGGGTCTTTTCATTGATTTCCAGTTCTTCCAACTTTCCCTTTAATTTGTTCCCAGTGCTCCAGTAACGCATGGTACGACTGCCAACTTCATATTATTATTATTAGTAGTAGTCGTAGTAGTAGTAATGATCTATTCGTACTTTATATAAGAGAAATGTACACAGACACACGTTCGTCTGTGCTTAGAACGAAGACGATCGAGGAGTCTTCTTCACGTACACACTCAACATAGCATCGAAACCCACATAAAAATCACTACTACTTCCAGTTCAATTGCAACCAAGGTTCGCTGTTATAAAGGCAACTGCTTCAACTGTATCTACAGAATTTTTTGCTACTACTACTATTACTACTAGTACAACAACGACGACCACGACGACGATGGTGCAAAACGTGTGGCTGCTTTTCCGTTTTATGCCTCGATACAGAGAAGTCGGTGTGACAGGCTTGTAAAGGTGAGAGGCGGTCGGTTGGTCGGTCGGTCGGTCGGTCGGTCGGATTGGCGGGGAGGACGGTCCTTGAAAAACACACAGTCGGGACTTCTTGAAGGACAGGAAAAAGCGAAAACATCGCTCGCTTTTTTTTTCTTTTTTCTTTTTTTTTTGTTCGCAAACGAACTTGGCTTTCTTTATTTTCTGTCCGATTTCAACTCAGACAGTTATCCCGCCCTGGCTTCATTTAAACAAAAAAAAAAAAAAAAAAAAAAAAAAAAGAAAATATAGAAGAAAAAAAGATTTCTGATCGCGCACCCGCGGCACACACACACACACAAACTCACACACGCGCGCGCACAGAAACACACACACACACAGGTACACAACCATGCACGCGCACACACATATTTATATACGCATAAACACATTCTTGATACTGTTGAAATCGAATATACGATCATAAATACAAAAAAAAGCATCTATCTATCTATCTATCTATCTATCTATCTATCTATCTTTTTTTTCATATCTAAATATCTATGTTAGCTTCTCTGTTTATCTCCAGAAAAACGTAGTGCCTCGTATTGAACAAAATTACTAATCCTCTAGTCTGTCTGTCTGTCTGTCTATCTATCTGTCTATCCCTCGCTATCTATCTATCTATCTATCTATCTATCTATCTATCTATCTATCTATCTATCTATCTATCTTTTTTCATATCTAAATATCTATCTAATCTTCTCTCTGTAAACGTAGCCTCGTATTGAACAAAATTATTTATTTTCTAATTTCTCTCTCTTTCTTTCTTTCTTTCTCTCTTCTTTTCTTTCTCTCTTCTTTTCTTTCTTTCTTTCTTTATCTCTCTGTTTATCTTTTTATCTATCTATCTATCCAACTGCTTGCTACGAGTTCATCTACCCAAGTACCTACCGACCCAACTACCAACAAACTACCCTATTTACATACCCATCTCCAAACCTACCTACAGTGTATTTCACTGATAATCTTAGTGACCTCTTTACCGCAAGTACATGACGGGACATTATCATCAATAAATGAAAATACCATCTACCTCTGCAGAACATACTCGGACGTACATATTCGCCTTGTATATTATGGATATATATATATATGTATATAGATAGATATATACAAACATACATGGACACACCTATTATAAGCATCATATAGTTTAATCCAACGTACGATTGGATGGACCACAGTCGAGGAAAACAGTAAACATTGTGAATAAAAATAGATAAAAGTTAGAAAAAAAAGAAGTCTACTATATTTGAATAATAATAATAGAATTGATACCAAAAGAATATTATTATTATTATAAAAAAATAAATAAATAAAAAAAGACGTTTTGTGGTTATATCGTAAACTTAAAGGAATCTACGATTGTCGTTAAAAAGACACTAATTTTTTCATGCTCTCGAAATGTAGCTTCTTTTTTAAATATTTTAAAAATATTTTTTTTAATTTAATTTAATTTATTTATTGATTATTTTATATTCCTTTTTTTTCTTCTTCCTTTTTTTTCTCTTTTTCTTTTTTATGAACTCTATTTTTCTTTCTCTATGGCTATATATGTATCGCTATTTAGTTTAGCAGTTAATAAAATAGACACAAAACATTACAATCATAAGAACATCACTTATGCAAACAAATGAATTCACACACGCAATAAAAGAAATACATCAACCAACAATACTTTCTACAGCAAAAATATTCAATAACTGACGTAATGTCCGACTTCTGTCTAAACTTGTGTTTATTTTATTATTACTTTACGAAGCTTCGAGCTGTAAATTTCTTTTAGTGTCTGCTATTCCTAAACCGTCACCCAGCAGAACAGTAATAAGACTGAACGTGGCTTAACTCCGATAACCAGACGGCTTATTTACTAAGCGCTACTTAATCAAGCGCAAAGCCACAAATTGTCCAGTGTAGATTGCGTTCTGAAACGGTCACCCAGATAAATGCTGATCAGGTGAGACGCTGCTTAACTTCAGAGATCAAAGAGGAACCTAGTGCCTTTAGTGTTATTTAACAACAAACTATTTCGTTTTTTTTTTATGGTCATACTTTCTTTTCTTTTTTTTTTTTTAATTATTTTGCCGGGGAATTAAATAAATTGCGAAAGAAAGATTCGATGAATTAATCCCAATATTATTACAACATCACCGAGATTACTTCAGAACAATTAACAGTGAATGAAGTGTTGGGAATTTTTAGCCCTCACAAGAAAAGAGACTTTGTTGTTATTATTGTAATTAAGAGAGAGGGAGGGAGAGAGAAAGAAAGAAAGAAAGGGAGAGAGAGGAGGAGGAG